TGGAAAAGAGTGAAAAAAAACAAACCAGAGATAAAATGCGAGTCTTTCAAGTGAGGATGGCTTAAGTTAAGACTCGATGAACACTGAGCGCGCTCGCTAGATAAGATCAAGTTCGTTTTAGCGATCAGAGTGTTCTCTTTTGCTTTCGGGCAAATAATGTTCGGGTTATAATAAGCGTCTAGCGAGCATGTTACCTGATTCCGCTCGCTTTACCAATCTCCTTACTCCAGATTATTTAAAATGCAAAAGCTGCTCCTCGATGTTTTTGAGATTAGTGACAAGAATTCATGACATTTTTTTTTTTTTTTTCAACCTGCGTTCGGCTCGCCTCAACACGAACTCAGTTCAAAGGATCTTTTTTGTGAGCAACGATTATAGACTACAACAAGATTGCTCATTTCCATTTAACGTGTGTTGGCCTATTTTTCGGGGTATGGGAAAGCCGCTGTGACGTCATCACTGATTCAGAATTTTTTGTTTATATTAAGCAATATAATAATTATATGATCCTGTGTGTTTTGCCCCGGTACGCATCTGAGCTTCTTGTTTGATATAAATCTTATATATATAAAAAATTCTTATCAAAAAGTTTGTCCGGGGTATACTCCGGAACTACTTAACTGATCTTCATGAAACTTGGCTCATTATGTGTCATTTGGTCCAACTTAAAAGATAGGATACATTTTATCTCAATTTTTGACCTAAATATTTTTTAATTATAAATTAAATGTTTATTTACGGGCTATACGGGGGTGCGTTCGAAAATAGGTTATAGGTTAACGTGTTTTCGAACGCACTGGTTTAATCTATGTCACCTTTTTCGTCGATTTCCTCTGAAACTTTGACAGGCACGCGATTCGCACACTGGAACACCCCGGATATTTTATGTTCCACTACCTTCATCACGGTAGGTACTATAGAGTGTACTACACGAACACTGCACTCTGCACTAACTAGCACTTTTCGACTTTTACCAAAACTGGTTCCAATTGATCAATAAGCGATCCGGATTCAAATGTTCGGCTTAAAAGGGTCCGTGCTCTCGGCGAGATTCACGTGTTCGACTTGAGCAATAGAACGCTCTCAAATATAGCAAGGAGCGCTTTTTTTGCTCCGTAACCGAATTCGATTGAACGGACTAAATCGATCTGGTTCAATTTAAGTGAACCACACCGTAGGGCGGATTCCGTGCACTGTTAAATTCCATAGCGACATGTCGCTTGCTTATTTTCAAGATATCAAACGACATGTTGCTATGGAATTCAACAGTGCAATCGCCCCCCATGTTGGATTGAGATTGGATCGATGCACCCCCACTAACAAATAAATCATCCAGATCACAAGAAGTTCACTTAAACTGAACCCAAATCGATCTGTTCTGGGTCAATCGAATTCGGCTAAGTACGTTCGGCTATCGATTTCAAAAAGTGTGCTCTCGGAGCACTCCCGATGAGACCTGTGACGTCACCGCGGTCACCGCCAGACAGGGAGCGTTCTGGGAGCAGTAACGCCGAAAACGCTATTACATACAGTGATACAGTGGTGACAATAGGTATATGGTCATGGTGACAATGGAGGTTCTCTCCTATCGTAGTAGGACTATTGTGTATTGTGTTTCTTTGAATGTTTTACAATTTCGCTTTGCATCGTTTGTATATTATTAGTTAACTACAAAACTTTGTATAAAAATTTGTTTCCGATACTTTCCATATCAACGGTACCATCTTGATTCTTGAGTACCTACTACAACTACCTACTGAGCCACAGCAACGCGTGGCCGGGTCAGCTAGTTAATAATAATTAATTCCTAGTATTCCCGAATGGGGCACTCCAACAAACTGTCAGATCTGGCCGCTGGAGGACCAACAAACCTGTTTACCCTTGATTCTTATGATAATTTTGAACATCATATTGATTTTATTAATTTGATGTGTAAAAATTCCTGCATTTTGCTGGGTTCTGAATTGAAGCAGTAGTGCACAGCGGGAAAAGTTAGATTTTTTAGAGTTCCTAATGTTTAGCACATCACGAGGAATTAATTTAAAGGCAGTGGATAGAGGTCCGAAAATTCGGATCCCTAGTGCCAATACTAAAGATCCGATAATTTTCGGATTTCTAATCTACATACTAAAGATCCGATAATATTCGGATTTTTAATTTATTAGGGGTCCGAAAATGCGGATCTTTAGTGTTAAGGGAGATCTGAAAATAGACTACCTATAGTCTGACATGCAGAATTCTCATAAGAAATGCCTTAGAAAATCGTACTTTGCTGTTTATTTCTAATTTTGTTGTGAACACGGGATATTATAATAAATATTTTATTGAAACGTTTGATTTTTTAAGGACGAGTTCAAGGATTTATACTCTGTTCATACTTTTAAAAAATCAATAAAACAGCATTTTACAGAAAAAAAAACTAATATTTTTGCTATTTGGTTGTATAAATCCTTAAAGACACATGCTTTTTAACAAAATATGGGCACATAATTACTCATGTGATTCATGTCTTCGGTGGAAACATAAAGTCTGCTGTTCGGTAACAAAGTTGCCTTCTAGTAAGAAAGCCTCATGGTTCTGCATGCAGTGCAGAAGAAATTGAAAAATGAAATCACACCCTATCTACCCTTTCGATAAACGAAGTAATAATATTTGGTTTTATTTATGTAAAGTGACAAATTAATAAATACGGTAGTCTATTTTCGGATCTTCATTAACACTAAAGATCCGCATTTTCGGACCCCTAATAAATTAAAAATCCGAATATTATCGGATCTTTAGTATGTAGATTAGAAATCCGAAAATTATCGGATCTTTAGTATTGGCACTAGAGATCCGAATTTTCGGACCTCTATCCACTGCCTAATTTAAAACACTGTCAAAGTTGACTTACTTCCACAGAAACATATGGGCTGAGTTCGGCTTTAGACTCCGTGAGCCCCGAGCGCGCTCGAAACGATAAGATCCTGTTCGTTCTTGGCAGTTTTTGCGCTCAGAGTGTTCTCTTTTGCGTTTGGGTTACAAGCGAGCATGTACCCTGAGTACGCTCCCTTTTCCCTGGATGAATGGATGGAGAACCAAGAAATTAATTGCCAACTGTGCCCGATGTGACCAATTCAGGATTCAGGATTTTTTTCTTCTATTTGCGTTCGGCTTACGAGCTTGTTCAGGAGCGCACTCTGCGCCCATGACGTCATGGTATCCACGCTCCTACCGTTCCGATGCGTGGATTGCAAAGCCGAACTCAGCCATGGGCAACTAGTTTGGTCCCATAATTTAATTGTTTTGTTGCAAGGTTCATAAACCAATGACGTCATCAGGACGATTTAATGGAGATTTGCATTAAGTCGTCCTGATGACGTCATTGGTTTATCGTTACCAGACAACCTATCAACTTAAGGAACCTTGGTTTTGTTGGACTGCTCCATTGAGCTATCTATCGTTGGTTTGTCAACATTCCTATAGCGCTTTCCATTTGTACTTCCAGTGCAGCACTCGGTGCTCTCATAGATATGCACCAGTGCAATTTAAATGGAACGTAAAAACGAAATATTTTTTGTACTGAGGGAACATAATACAAGCTGGATTCGGCTTGCTCACTCCATGTACTCGAGTGACTCCGTTCGCTCTCCCGTTATCTGATTCTGGATACGTTAAAAGTCAATACCTGATTGGCTAGAGTTCGAACGGATTACGGAGTCACTCGGAGGGCACGGAGTGAGCAAGTTGAACCCAGCTATAAATACCGAACATAGAACATAAACAAAAAGCAATTGAAATATCTAAAAAAGATAACTAAACTGCAAGAAATCTTGCACTTGCGCGTGCAACTGCAAGATTTATTGCAGCATGTAAAACGCGCATTAAGACTAGTCCCTATAGACGCGAAATAGCAAATTTCTTTGAAAATTCGCGACTTCGCGCTATGGAGACTAGTCTTAAGATACCGTTCTGTAACCGCGGTATGTCAAATTGGAGCATCATGAAAATGCTTCATGACACCGAACGCGCAACTGCCGACGCCGAGATCTTGTCGTTTATATTCCGTGTTCGGTTAAAGGGGTAAAAGTGATCATTAAGCAGTAAGCACAAAAATATTCATAATTGGAATTTTTTTGGTATTTTTTTCGGATTTTTCAAGGTCGAATTTCTTATGATATGTCACTTTTGTATGTATAGGGTCGGGTTTTTTTTGTCTCTGTCTCACGGTTTATAACACGCAGGGGGTGGGGTGTTGTCACCCGGCGGATTATTGAAGGTCTACATATGGCGCATCTATTCCTATAAAGTTTAGCCTTTTAAGTTACCGACTCCTTTTCTTGCGGTCAGCTCTTAGACTTCGTACTTAAAATCGAGCTACTTGGAATATTTACCTACTATAATATTAAAATACATGTCACAGGCTTGATTCTCTTATTTGGAAATTCTAGGGTGAACTAAGTACATTTGACAAATAAATTAAATAAAACATGACGCCACAAACAAAAATGTGTGTAAAAAAATTTTCTCAAACTGATAGAGCACTACAAATTCACAGAAAATAAATAAACAGTCCTATGCCCACAGCATCATATTGGAATTTGCCTCTGAACCACTTTCTTTGTTATTAAAAATATTAAATACAGGATTGGCAAGACATGAAGGCATGTTCAAAAATGTATTGAAAAAAGTCTGAACTCCGATGTTTAGTGAGTTTCTGCCACCGCAGTTTATTGAATTTATTTGTCAAATGTACTTTTTTTACTTTTTATCTCGTTGTTCGAATTGCCTAATAGGAATTATGAAACTATATTTTGCTTATTATGTGTTTTTTTACGAAACTTTCCTATTACCTATAGCAATATTTAGCATACTAGCCAATTTTACCAAGTTTTAATTTATTTTATTTAGGCCTGGTTGTACCAAATGGAGGTTCAGTTGAACTCTACTGGTACTTGATCTTCCCAATTTGGAGCGCATTGATGTCAGAAATCTGTCAAAGTTCATATTTTTTGACAGCAACGCATTCCAAATAAGAAAGATCAAGTACCAGTAGAGTTCAACTGAACCACTGTTTGGTACAACCAGGCCTTAGTCATTTTGGGTTTTAAACCTAATAAGTTTTTCTGTAGTCCAGTTACAGGTTACAGACTGTATTGTGTTGTTACGTTTTTGATAATAAGTATGTGTTACTTCGTCAAGCTTATTTTTTATCTTACATACTTACTGAATGTCCCATTAGAAATGACGTCGATTTAAATTTAAATACCAAATAAAACTTGCCATTTTATTAAAAATTTAATATCTATTCAATCCGATATCTAAAGGTAAAGATAAAATTTATCACCTTCCAGAAGTATTTGATAGGGAAAGGTGATAAATTTACCTACACCTGACATCAGATTTTGAATAGGATAAAGAATTAGAAAGCATCTTTTTCCTGGGTCACTCAGCAAGTATAAGTTTTTTTTGCTATTTTAAGGAGTAAGTTTAATTTGTTTTATTTCTATATTTTTAGATGGAGAAAAACATTGTGTGATTTTTTGTGATTAGTTGTTACAGAATGAGAATCAAATTTTTATTTTATTTTTTTGAGGAAACAAGGGTGAAAAGAACATTATTTTAGGATAAAAAAACATTTTGGAACAAAATAAGTTTATTATGACAATGTAGTTCGAGATGCCCAGCCATAAATGCATATATTATGTAACAATAAAGAAATTATAAAAGTGAAAACTGAGTGCGGTTGTTTAAAAAGTCCCTCATTTATAACCCGGGAGCATAATGAACAATGAAACCATTTATTAAATGGTAATGTTAAATATATTGCGCAAATCATTTCTCAACTTTTTATACAAATCAACACAATCTGTTGGGTTTTCATTTTGGACGTATTGATTTTCTTCTATTAAAATAATACAAAGCTCATGAAAATCCTTGTCGCATGGATGCTCTTGGAATGTACAACCAGAGGAGAGTTCATCAATTGCAAAGGCAGGTACTGGCACTAAATAACTTTGAGCTCCGTAGAAAGAAGGGACTTCATACATTAAAGCTGGTCTTCCAGTTGGAGATACACTGTTTCTGGTTTTACTTATTTTGTGAATATTCCACTCATGAACAACTTCAACCATTTCTCTCTATAAATAAACAGAATAATTAACAAGAAGATGGTCTAACCATGATCCACACACGCACCACACAACTACCTACAGTGAGAACGTGAAGGTTGGCATAAATTCAGTAAAAAATCAGGTTTTTTTTTTTTTTTTCAAAAACGCTCGAGGCTTTTTTTTTATCGCGCATCTTTTGCACTGAAAAGGACGAGGTGGATTGAACATGGGAGAAAAAGTCATCATTAAAGATAAAACCACTAAGGAAAACCTCTGACGTCATTACTGACGAAGAAATCTTATAGGCCCCTCCGAATTAAATATGCTTTTCTGCCGTGTGAAACATATAATTTTTTCTCCGAATGTTCTCATTTCATTCATGGACATCTTCGACACTATCACTTTTAATGCCTAGGCAGTAAATGTACAACTTTTGATCCTGTCAAGTGTCATGAAAAGGCCGATTTCACTGTCATTCGGAGAAAAAACCATTTTTGTATTTGTTTCCAAAAAATGTGCCTATATGTGAAGCCACATTTCTTGTTGGCGATTTTTGTGCTACCTACAGAAACTAATTGGTGATCGTGTATCGTATATTTTTGTTTTGTAATTCTAACCATGCAAAATAACATACCTCGATTATCTTCGAGAAACAGAACTGTATTAACATCTTGTCAAGAGTCGTTCCCTGGAAGAAATTCTCATCTTTCAGTGATTGAAAAAGGTTCATCCAAAACTGAACGCAGTGTTTTCTAAGCATTCCCCACCAAGATTCAATTCTTTGGTTATGTGTACTTTTCCCATATAAGAAGGATGGTCTATCACACCTCTCGGTATTGAATGATTGATGAAAGGTTTTTTGTATTCGTTCCACCAACCCATTTTCGGTACCCATGTCAGACCGGACAGTTTTTGGACAACCACCTGTTAATCTCACAGCATCCAAATAGTATCCGGCGATTACCTAAAATTGTCAAACATTTCGCATTATAATAGCTATTTATACAGAGTGTCCAAAATACCATGGACCAATTGGTATATCGGATACGGTAAGAGATGGTAAGAGATGCGGCCCGTATTCTGGTGTCGTGGGAGTGAGATCCCCCAGGGGCACGATTCTCGTCTCGGGGAGGGAGAGCTCTCTCCCCGAGAGAACGAATGTTTTGTCCTTGTCAACTTAATCGAAAAGTAAACGAGAATGATGAAGACAAAAAACTTGTTCTCTCGGGGAGCTCTCCTTCCCTGAAACGAGAATCGGGCCCCTGGGGAAAGCTACATTTGATTCTCAAATGTGATTCTCTCGGAGATCTCACTCCCACGATACCAGAATACGGGCCGCGGTTAAATTAGAAAAAAGTTGCCATTTTTGAAGAATAATGAAAATAATTTTTTGCTGTTGCCAAATTTCTATTAGTTTCGCAAATACATGGTGGTTCATGAAAATTAGCAAAAACAATTTTCTTGATTATTTTATGTCCTACTGAACAATCATAACCATACAGTGGTCCCACAACGAACTGCCGCGATCGATTTCTCAGAAAATAAACTTTGGGAAATTTTGAAAATTTGGCAACAAAACAATGTTGATGGGGGCCATCCGGCTAAAATAATTTCAAGACTGTGGCACTTCCGGTTATACTGAAGGTAGACGTCAGCTTGCATATTTTTAATGAGATACCCTATATGTTATTGCCTATTTGGATTCTATGTACGTAAAATTCTGAGCAGATTTCATGTGATATACCCTATACCTAAGCTAAGTTCAACTGTTTTGGAAATATTGACAGTTGAAAATTGACTTTTTGCAACTTTGACAGGCTGTAAAACCTAAACGGTTGATTTAAAGGAAAACCGATTTCACGTTCCTATCTTAGATTTTCATCAACTATCATTTGACACTAACATTAAATTTAGTCCAAGATTAAAAATTCCAGTTAAATTTAATCTCCGGTTAAATTCAAAGTTGGTCTTAAATGATAGTTTATGAAAATCTAGGATAGGAACGTGAAATCGGTTTTCCTCTAAAAACAAACGTTAAGGTTTTACAGCCTGTCAAAGTTGCAAAAAGTCAATTTTCAACTGTCAATATTTTCGAAACAGTTGAAGATAGGTATAAGACATTGTACATGAAATATGTCTAGAATTTTCCGCAGAATCCAGAAATGTCATAAATATACAGAGTGTTCCATTTAAAATAGTATAACTTTGTTTTGCCACACTTTCGTGACACACCCTGTATACTTTTAACTAACTTCATTGAAAACTTTCTGATATTACCTACAACTTTCTTATTTAACATTTCTAGGTATCTCTTCAAACAGGTGAGATAGGTGCGGGTGCAAAATATAACCAAACACCCGGTACCTGTTCCTTTTTTCCCTATATGAGTAGTTGACGTCACTTTCAGATTGACTTTGGCGTGCGATTTTTAACGTTTTACAGAGCAGTCGTATGAAATAGTAGTTTACCTAACATGTGCGGAAAGTGCCACTTTTCCGCACGCGATTGCAGATGGCCGAACGACGCGTTAGCGGAGTTCGGCCAGAAATCGAGTGCGGAAAAGTCACTTTACGCACGTGCTAGGTACATTATTTTTTCTACACGCGTGAGGAAAACAAAACAGCAAAAGTTTACACACAAAAAAAAATAATTTTACTAGTAAAAGTTGCGAGAACAAAATTGGTTTGACTGATAAGCCTATTTTTGTTTTGTTAATTGTTCCTATGGTGATTCAAACTGCCAAAACATGGCAGGAGTTAATTATTTTGATTTGATGAGGCCTATACCAGTGGTCCAATTATTGAAAAATATCGCATACAAAATTTCATTCGAATATGACCGATAGCAATGTGAAATGAATGGGAAAGCGTTCGAAATCAAATGTCGTATACGATATTTATCAAGAATTGAGCCTCTGGCCATCAAAAAATTATTTAAACATATTTTCGACATATTCAATTGTCAGTAGGTATGCATCTTAAAAACTAAAAAAAAATTACTTTTCCGCACTAGTGCGGAAAAAACTCTTTTCCGCACTAGTGCGGAAAAGTGACACTTTCCAAACCAAAATGCGTGCGGAAAAGTGGACTTTTCCGCACGCAAGTAGAAAATAGTATATTACATACCGAGGTGGAAAATGTTTCATTACTGTCGAGAGATTTAAGTTAGACCGAGGCGTAGCGGAGGTCTAACTGAAATCTCGAGACAGTAATGAAACTTTTCACCGAGGTATGTATACTATTTTATTTACAATCATTCGAATTTTGAAATTTTCATTTGGATTAAAACTAAAAAATACAATAATTAACAATTTCATTTACTTTCGGCCCACGGGTCGAAAGTTTACTTTCGACCCGTGGGCCGAAAGTAAAAGTCAAAAAATACAATAAATTTTAAAAATTTCATTCACTTTCGACCCACGGGTCGAAAGTAAAAGTCGAAAAAGTGACATTTTCGAACTTTTTAAAAGTCAGTAAAGTCAACATTACATGTATGATTGTAAATAAAAGCTATTTCCTTCCCGCAAGCGTTAGGAACTGTATTTTTTCTACGAGCGTACTAAAGATGTTATGACAAAGTGACACTTTCGGAACTAAAATGCGTGCGGGAAAGTGGACTTTCCCGCACGCTTGTAGAAAAATGTGTTTATATTTTGAATTTTGAATGAATCACAAAAAATGTTGTATGAAACACGTCGCAAAATGGCTGTTTTTTGCACACAATGTGTTGACCACTCGCTTCGCTCGTGTTTCAATCTTCACATTTAGTGCAAAAAACACGCACATTTTACAACTTGTTACATAAATAGCTATTTCCGAACAAATAATTATTCGAACAAATGTTTTCGAACAATTTTCTCCGATCCCACGTATACATATACGTACCTTTGGATCACTTGATGTTCGACCCAATCTCAACCAAATTATGTGCCTGGAAAAACCATCTATGCAACCATTTATACAAATTCCGTAGGGTTTAAGCTTATCATAGGAATCCATATGCCATAAATAATTGGGACCTTTATTAAAATACTGGCGCCTCCTAAGTCTTTTTCTTTTACGAAGAATATGCCCCTCTGGATCCAAAAACCGCAAAATTTCTGCGACTACTTCTTGGGTTACCACTAAATTGTTCTGAATACACCTAAGATGCATCCATCTGTATCCATGAAGCTGGCCAGAACCTTTCAACTCGTTTTCAATAAATTGAACAACTGTTCTAATAGGTGAATAGTACTTCCTTCGGAAAAGTCCTAATTTTTGCAGTATTCTTTTAAGAGTTCTAGGGGAGATGATTATCCCATTCAGAGACTTTAGCAATAGCAGAATTTCATTCTGTTTAAAACCATACGAAAAAAGTTCTCTTATTTTAGTTGTGGTGTAATCCTCCTAAAATTAAGAATAGTGATTTAGGCAACAAGTGCGTGTAAAGTGAACCGTTTTTTACGAATGTGGAGTTTGACGCTCGAGCCGCAGACGAGTGCGACACTCACATGAGTGGGGTGACTACGAATATCATAGGATTCTCAAGTTTTAAAAAATGTATAAAATTGCGAGTTTGTATGCCCCTCTTTACCAGGTGTCAACGAATCTATTAGACAAGCCATAACTTAATTCTAGAGTGTTAGGTTTATCAAAATGAGATTTGGTATAAGTGAAAGAAATATGAGGAAGAGATTTTTCGCATATTTTTTATTTTCGAGTCAGTTTTACCAGAAATGGCTTTGATTTCGAATTTTTAAAGGGAATATTATCACATTTTTGAATTTCTGAGACTATTCTGAATTAGAAAATTACATTTTTGGAAGTTTTTACTCCTACCCGATTTTTTTAGAGCCACTTTTAATATTGCATTTAGGTTTCCATGATCGTACGCAAACTAATACAGAGTGGCAAAAAAGTACTGCATACAACCTGTAGCTTTTTAGAACCTTTTTTCATATAAAGGTACTAAAAAAGTTACAGGTATTATCCGCTACTTTTTTGCCACTCTGTATAAGGACATCAGGTTTTGTTAGAAAATTATAATCGCACCGTTATTGTGGTCAGTACCTATGCTACGAATAAGGCAAGTTGGCGAAATCACATTTTCGTGGTAATTTTTATTTATTTTTTTCCAAACGGCGACCCTTTTTTGACAAAAACTTCCTGGAAAGAGGATTTTTTGGCGAATTTACCAACACTAATTTATTCGTGATTAGATTAAAAAATAAGCTCATAAATTGAATATTACTAAAACTACCATTTAAATGGAATACACGTGTGGCTCTTGGGAAATCAAGTAGGCGTAGAAACTATCAAAAATGTCACATTCTGATTCAGAATTGTCTTAAAAATCTAAGAATGAAAAAATATACATGGTGTACCGTTTGAAAATTCGAAACGCTAGAGACATTTCCAATAAAACCAGAAGTGACTCGAAAATAAAAAATACCCGCAAACTCTCCACCTATACCAAATCTCATTTTGATAAACCTAACACTCTAGAAGATATGGCTTGTCTAAGAGATTCGTTAACACCTCTAGAAGATATGGCTTGTCTAAGAGATTCGTTAACACCCTATATGTGATAAATATTCCCAAAACCACAAAAAAAAAATAAAATTTCGATCAATGAAATAGCTCGCCAAAGCTAAAAAACACCCTCTAACAAATTTGAGGAAAAAAACACACACTTACGTCATCTGCCATTTCGGTCGTCCTTAAATGTTAGGCACTCACTTCTCACTAATTGTACTCAAGCACATCGCGTTGTACCTATAGGTTGGTTGGATTATGATCATAATAATATTTTAAGCAAAATAATTCAAAATTTTGAGTTTTATTGCAAAATTTTGTAAAAAAGTACGAAATTTTGAGATTTTTTGCAAAATTTCGCAAAATAATTCAAAATTTTGAATCTTTTTACAAAATTTTGACTTTTTTTGCAAAATTTTGTGAAATAATTCAAAATTTTGCATCATTTTACAAAATTTTGCAAAATATCTCAAAATTTTGAATCATCTTGTAAAATTTCGTACTTTTTTACAAAATTTTGACTTTTTTTGCAAAATTTCGCAAAATAATTCAAAATTTTGCAAAATGATTCAAAACTTTGAGTTTTTTTGCAAAATTTCGCGAAATAATTCAAAATTTTGTGATTTTTTACAAAATTTTGTAAAATAATTCAAAATTTTGCATCATTTTACAAAATTTTGCAAAAATTCTCAAAATTTTGAATTATTTGGCAAAATTTTGTGAAAAGTTTCAAAATTTTGAGATTTTTTACGAAATTTTAAAAATTATTTGCAATGTGGCTTTTCTACGCCTTCGTAGTTTGCTACCAGGAGTCTTCAGCTTCAAAAATCTATAATAAGCAGACTGTTTAAGACTGATAATCTTTTTAATAGTTGCAGTAAGCCAAAGTGGTTTCTGTTTACCAACTTTATTAATTTTAATAGGACAGTGTTGATCAAGAACAGCTAACAAATGGGTCCGTTACACTGCCCCCCCCCCCCCCCCCCCCCGGTTTCCCAATAGGCTCAATATTTTAGCACCCTATTGCACCCACCTAGCACCACCTAGCACCCAACTTACAGAGCTAGCACCACACCCCCTAGCGAGTTATGGAACATTTTCACCGGGGGGGGGGGGCTAATGTAACGCGAGCCCCCCCCCCCCCCCGGTTTTCCAACAGGTCCAATTTTTTAGCACCCTATTGCACCCACCTAGCACCACCTAGCACCCAACTTACAGAGCTAGCACCACACCCCCTAGCGAGTTATAAAACATTTTCACCGGGGGGGGGGGGGCTAATGTAACGCGAGCCCCCCCGGTTTTCCAACAGGTCCAATTTTTTAGCACCCTATTGCACCCACCTAGCACCAACTAGCATCCAACTTACAGAGATAGCAACACACCCCCTAGCGAGTTATAGATAATTTTCACCGGGGGGGGCTAGTAATTGTTACTAAAAGTTTTAATGAGATATATATACATATAAATATGTAGGTGCAGGTACGGGAAACAAAATAGAAAAGGACAATTTTCCTAAAAAACATTTATTTATTTTTTTCTAAAAGTTACACACAAAAAAGTTACAACTTAAAACAAGAATAAGCAGTTTTTTGAGAATATCTTAGGATTCGATATCCGCAAGAAAGTAGATGTTTGGAATGAGAATCGGATCAAATAAATAAACTATATACCTACTTACTTCTTATTTTGAGAACATATTAAACCTCATTTGAGAATGCAGGTAGAGGAGTAGTAGCATGGAGTTTATAGTTTATAGTCCGGGAGAAAATAAGAAAAAAAAGGATGAAATAATTGCATTTTTATCGAAAATGGTGAACCACCAGCAACATATAAAGGTTCATGTACAATTCAAGTAAAAAATCCATATTATTTCTTCAAAATTGGATATCTAGAGGCTAAGCTATGAGGAATAAACCTAAAAAACCTAGTAGGTATATTTGGATCAGAATTGAAAGGCTAATTGAATGAGTCAATTATATACGGGGTGTTCCATTTGAAAAGGTTTAACTTTGCTTTGCTACACTTTTGTGACACACCCTATAGGTATACTTGTAACTAACTTCATTTCAAAGTTTCTGATATTACCTACAACTTTCACATTTAACATTTCTGAGTATCTCTTCAAACTGGTGAGATAGGTGTGGGTGCAAAATATACACAATCACCCGATACAATGTTTTATGATAGGATAGCCCGTTAAGAGATTCTTTACCGTTAGAGATAGAGCTCTGTAAAGAGATGTTTACAATTCAAAATGTCATACATTATATTTTTGGCTTAAAGCGAATATGAGCTATATTTGGAAGGATGGTTATTTGGGCTCAATTGAAGTAGTAATTAGGTACATTTTTCTAAATTCATAAAAAAAACTCATTTTTTATTGAAAAATGTCTTTAATACTCAATACCAAAATAAACACAACAAACATTGGTGGGTAAACACGCATATCAAAGGAAAATATTTTGATGAAGCTAAGGAACCCCAGTAGGAATAACAAATTAAGCCTAATAAACATAATATAGGAAGAACATAATACAGATTGTTGACAATTGAACATTGAACATAATATAGAATTCTAATCTTATAACTGTTATATATCTATTTCTGAATATTTTTCTGTGTAGTTAATAGGGCGATAAAGTATTTATGTGAAAACCAAGAAAATATTCAAAAAGAGCAAGCATCAATTCCTTCTATGTAAAGTACTTGTTATTAAAAGTTTTAATGAGATATAATATAAATATATGGTAGCCGTAGGGGAAACAAAATAAAAGAGAAAATTATCTTATAATAAACATCTATTTATCTCAAACTTTGCGTTGGTTTGATAAAAAAAATCTTATTTCAGAAGCACTAACAAGTGCTACCACCAAAATTTCACTTCCGGCTCAATTAGACAATCCAACGACCTGTCCAAATGGCGTCTGGTTGGCAAACAATAAACAAAAAACATAGGTTTTTTTTTTTGACAGGATTAAGCCTAGTACTCATAACAGCGAAATTCGCTCTTTTTTTACATTGCTTCGACAATTTGACGTTTGATTCACGCATAAAAAGAGCGAATTTCGCGGTTATGAGTACTAGGCTTTATCAATACACGGGGCGAGTACTCAAATCTGACACTTTTCTGATGCCGTTGACATGTAACAACCCGTATTCTAACCCCATAAAAATTTCAAAATGCCGGCTGGTTGGCAAAAGTCACGTGGTTTGGATTCCCTAATTGAAAGTTTCCGGTCGATCAACTTTTGAGGTTATGTTAGTGCAATAATTTCAATAGTACCCTATATTTATAACTGGACATTCGTATTAAAATAACAATTTTAAATATTTTTTGTTCACACTTTCCCATACCTGAGGTTCACTGTTTTTGAGAAATTTGGTCCTTTGGTGACTTTAAACCAACGAAAAATTGCCCTTGGATTAACATTGCTCTAACAATACAAATTTCCAGAGTTAAGTATGGGGGCCATTAAAATTATTGCAGTACATTTAGGTAACATTAACTCAAAAGTAGCTCGACCGAAAACTTTCAATAGAACTGGAAGTGAAATTTTGGTGGTAGGACTCTTTAGTGCTTTCGAAGTAAATTGAAAATATCGTTTAGTTTGAATCTACCCTCAATTGTTCCTGTCAAAACCATAAATTGTTGGAACGGACAATAGACCTATCTATTTTTACCTAAAGTTCATTCCACGAAACGAGATAGTAGAGGTAAACAAACAGGCGGATCCTAAAAATTCAGAGACGGACTACAAAAATATGAATTACAACTAATGACATTCATTATTGTCAGCTTGTCATATGAGTCAATAAGTTTAATGTCGTATTTCCTAATATTTTACAATTATTTCAATAGTGTTTGGTGAATTATTGTTATTTAGTGAGCAATTTAGATTAAAACAATATCAAGTTCAACATATTCTGCTGAAGAATTCGTTCGGAAATATATTCAGAGAAGAGAAATACAAAACAGCCTAAGACGGTCCTGCCTAGGGCGGAGTATAATCCTTTTCTAGCCAATAAAATTCGACTTACCTGTTAAAGTTTGTTTACTTTCACTATCTTGTTTCGTGAAATGAACTTTATATGCGCACGCAACACGAGGCATTGAGTTTTTATTGACTAGGTAGTACGAAGTTGGTTTCGCATCATTAACTTAGCTGCGTTCAAACCTTACGCTAGTTATCTCTTTGTCTGTATTCATGGCCCGTGGTCTGACAAGGATAAAATTACGACTGATATTCAACTTGACAAGTAATCGATTTTCAAGACCGCATAACCTATGGAACATTTCAAAAGTCATTTGAGTTTTTGATTGACAGATACGTTGCACGTCAAGTGATCTTCCTCCGTTCCCTTTTATCCCGTGCAAATAAAAAGGAAGGATTGCTATACGTAATGATTTTGTACGTTTTGCCTCGTGTTGCGCAATAAGCATTCCGCGCTCTTTTTATCTGATGAAGTTTTCGTATTATCAACTCTTTATCTGGTAAAATAGATAGATCTATTGTCCGAATGGCCCTATCTATTTTACCAGACAAAGAGGTAATAATACGAAAACTTCATTAGATAAAACAAGACACAGAACGCTCATTGCGCAAGACAAGGCAAAACATATCAAATTATGCTAGACTTGCATATAGCAATCCGTTCTTCTTATTTGCACGAGATAAAAAGGGAAGGAGGAAGACCGCGTGTAGGTCAACAGTGCAAAGTATTTGTCATAAAAATTTCAAACAACTTTTGCATGTCAAGTTGAATATCAACCGTAATTTTATTCTTGTCAGACCACGGGCAATGAACAAGGACAAGGAGATGCCCAGTGTGCAAAACGAACACCTCACACCTGTACTAGGCACTGCCTCGGGTTGCGCTCGCATACCAGGTAAAAATAAATGGGTCTATTGTTCGAAAGGAAATTTATTCGAAAGTAGAATGGTTCGAATGGAAAATTGTTCGTTCAAATAGAAAATTATTAGTATTGTAATGGGTTTCTACTATAACCCTTTGGATATTGGGTAACCCGCAGGATCGTTCATCCGAGGACTTAATAAAAGACGTGTTGTTGCTTAGAAGTTCTGTATTAGATTCGTTGTCAAAATATGTATTGCATTACCAACTGGGTCAGTGTGACCTGCTTATTCAGCACATATATAATATTATATTGGTTTAGCAATTACAGTAAATAATAACTATACAGGGTGTGCCCTATATGGGCACCACAGTATTATATGATTCAGTCCCGGGCGGATGGGGGTTTGTATCCTATAAAATAGCAATAATGTCCTATCTCAATGTATGTACCTATGTAACGGACGCAAAATACAATATTTTTTTACATGGGAATCTCCGCTTTCAATTTAGCGCACTTAAAGGGAGTGTGAGTCAAAAAAACAACTTCTCAAAAATTAAAAAAAAAATCTAAGGATAAGGGTGGATTTTTATGCATCCGTTTGTCCGACGAAATATGTCCGAAAAATTTTCTATATTGACATATTTTTATACGATTATGTCAGAATAGAATGTTTTTCGGACATCTTTCGTCGGACAAACGGATGCATGAAAATCCACACTAACAGTGAAAACCGCACCCCTCTAGGAGAATTAATACCGAAGATACAGTTTTGTAAAAATACCGTCTATGACGTCAGGACATAGTACACCTGGCCAAACATAAATCTGGTACAGGCAATATATATTTTTCAAATTGCCTAGTGTGAGTCAGGCTTAACAACAAAAAGTATTTTCTGAAAAAATAGGCTTTGAATTTAAATTATTTATGTAATGTAGGTATGTATGTATGTCCCAAGGAATATCGTTCCTGTTTTTAGTTAATTTATATTGACTTGCCGGCGAAGTTTTACAATTGGTATTAGATACAACCCACAACATAACAATTAACCATGGTAAGTAATTAAAAAAGTCAATCAAAGAAACTTCAAAAAAGTCTTAAAAAAGATTTTTAGGAATATTTATTAACTTATATTTCCACTAATTAATGGAAATATAAATAAATAAATATTAAAAATCTTTTCTAAGATTATGAATTTCCACCGAGTAGATGCCAATTCAACACAAAATTTAAAAAAGTGATTTTCAAGGGTAAGCAACGTAGAGTTTAACGATCCGACGAAAACTTAGCGCTTAAACATACATACATATGTAAATTCAATGCACTCTACTATCCCTTGCGGCGAACAAGATTTCGTGACGTCATAGACGGTATCTTTACAGAGCTGTATCTTCGGTAATAATTTTCTTAGAGGGGTGCGGTTTTCACTATTATTCTTAGATTTGTCTTCTTTATTTTTTGAGATGTCGTTTTTTGGCGTACACCCCCTTTAAACAGTTCTTTTAGCGAAAAAAAATAAATACAGTAGGTACACCAATTTTAACTCAATCCTGCCTTTACTCAAGTTACGAAGTATATATTAAAACTTGGATATCAACAACACTGGTGGATGACACATCAGTTTTCTTTTGTTTTAGGTCATCATAAAGTTCGAAACGTTTGTTATGGCGGGCACAGTAAGCAGTAAAATGCCCTACATTTGAACCAAGGCGTGATACTATTCCACGAAGTTGATAAGTCTTGTTAAAAATATATAATTTTTGTTTAATACTATTCAATGAACAGCCACATTCCGCTGTTTCATTCAAAACATCAAACGGTTCCAAAATTAAAAGATGTGGATTTATGTTCAAAATATTACACGTGGTGTCCATTTTGCACTGCATACAAGTTTTATCTTTAGGTGCACCATTTCTAATTTGCTGCTCTAAATCATCTGTGTTCAAGTTATATGGTATATAGGATTTTTTTGTTACTGATATAAAGGTACAGCTTCTGCAGTTTTCTACATATTCCGCCGAAAATAGGCTCGCATCAAAAAAATGATCTAGGATCTCAGAGATAATAGCCTCACCATTTATTTTAGTCAGACCTTGAGCGAGTTCTGTCCTAGGCCACGTTAAAAAGCACTCTGCCCTTTTCTTATATGTACCTGGACATGCACCTCTTTTAATCATGTGTAAGATAAATGTAATAAATGTATTACTTACGATGCTCTTCAAGTAAGTTTGGAAGCTTTCACTGTCGCAATAAGCGGTGGCAAAAATTTGAGAAATGGAATCAAACCCGCAAGTATTTGACAATAATATAGAACTGTTTTTAAGTTTAACAGGTTTTAGATGTATTAAATGTCCGTTACGAAGTAGCCCTACAGGTGTCACTTTCTTCTTGTCAAAGTCAATTTCTAGAAATTCGGTTTGTGGGTCAAGATACGATTCTCGGATCCGTTTCTTTGGTGGAACATTTTTTCCTCGCCAGTTTTCTTCGCGTAGTACGTCTAATACAAACTGCTTATTTTTGTTTGCAATAAAGCAATGACAGCACAATAGTTTGTCTTCTAAGTATTTTCTACATGAATCATACATGTGAACAACATTGTTACACAAAGAACATTTATCTCCTGATTGTAATTGCAACTGGCAGGATGAACAAGTAATATCGTCGAAATCATCTGTGAAAAAATAAAGGCGTTCAGTTATGTCTCAGATTACAGGAAACTCAAAAAATCATTTTTTCGATGACTTATTCTTTAATAAAAGCCGTTTATCGCATATTTTGTTACGATGAAACTGAAAACAAATTATTGAAATTGGTTCACTAGTACAAAACTAATAGGTATTAGAAATAACTCGAAAAAATCATTACATTACCGGGCAGGTATACGGTCGGCCAATAAAGTAATGTGAAAAAATAAAAATGTATTTAGATATGCTTATATAAAAAAACTGTTATATATATACAGGGTGATCCATTTACGTTGAGGCAACCTAATATCTCGAAAACGGAGAGTGTTTAAAAAAAAAACTCTCGGTTTTCGAGATTTTAGGCTGTCTCAAGCATCGAGCATTATAATCAAATGCTAAAGTTTTAGTTAGAGGCCAGTGAATTTTTAATTTGATACATTACTTTATTGACTGACTTAACCTATAAGTTACCTCTAGAATTTGTACTTTGATTAATGCCCTTGGATTTGCTAATTACCTCCGCCTCCGGGGCATCTTCAATAATTGTAATTACCTGAAAAATGTATTGGACTTGTTGAACTAAGTTTTATTTTTAAAAACTATGAGCTCACCTCTTTATCTATATCTGGGTTCTTGGCGGTTCTTTTTGGAGGCTCATCTACAAATTGTTCTTGTTCAGAACCTTGATACTTGTCAGAAGCTGCTGATATCAATTTCATTTCACCATCAATATTTTTCAGGTGAACTTTGACAAAATCATCTCCGCGCATCGGTAGCTTTTTGTCCGCAAAAATGCGATTTTTTAAATGATTGAAATAGCTCTCAACGCTGGCCGAAGAAGCTATTCTGGGAGCAAAAGGAAAATTAGTTTTCATGATTGCTGTCCAGAGGGGAATACTTGCAGCCAGTGAAATAACATCATTAACAATACCAGGCAAAACTTGCTGATTGCCTCGATCCCCCTCTTCGTTTGGATTTATTGTTACTTGTCGGGCCGATTTTGCAATATTTGTTGCCCATTTCCTAAAGTGATTATCAATAATTGCTCCGTCTTCACTTTCAGATATTAATTCTGCTACTTCTGTATTTAAATTTTCGTTTTCGCTTTCAATAATTGTTTCGATAGAGGGTTCTATGGTTCCGCTAGCTATCCGCGTTTTCACAGGTTGTCGGCTGTCCTTTTATGTTCACTCCTTCTGTATCCGAGTATGCTACAATAAAAATGGCCTCAAAGATGTTTTTCAACGATTCCATGGTCTCACATTGAATAGCTTGTCCTATGGCTTTCAAATAAAATTTTCTAGTGAGACGGAGCTGATTTTTCAAACTTTTTTTTGTTGAAAACAATTTTACTATATGAGCAACGTCAATTCTTATTTGGCTTATTATCCGATGTTTCCATTAATATATCGAAACAGGCGTTAACATATGAGTGAAAGTCATTAAATTGAGTGAATGTTTTAATGCACGAGTACATCAAAGCAAGTGACATATCGGTGACAACTTCAGACGGAAAGCACTGAGCATCTTTAATCCAAAAATTCAGCCAAGTGCTAATAGCAATGTTATTATGACTGTCACTTAACATAGATCCTACGCAATACTGCTTCTGTATGGTCGGGTCCCTAACTACTATGTTATAAAGATATATGTAGTTGGATTTGACACCGTTTGGGTACTGGATCTTGTTGAACACCACCAGTCGCATCGATTTGTATTTTGCAGTAATGGTTTTTAGTGAACTGCCGAAACACGTAAATCTGCGAACTATTCCAGAAGTAAACAAAGAATGGTGAATAGCCAATATTTTTAATTGCTGCCGAACAAAATTGTTCATTCCTTAATTTAAATAGTGACACTATAACATCTGAATCCAGTCTTGTACTCTTTTCATGTCTGTGCTTTGCTACTCTTAATGTTGTTAGTTTTGGTATGTCTGCTGGTTCCCTATTTCCAAAATTGACACGTGCCGATGCTAAGCTGTTTCGGATAGCAGAGGCACTTTTGGATTCATCTGTCATTTTTTCTAGATTTTGCTTTTTTAAGAACCCGTCAAAAATCTTTTCACTCCAATATGTCTTGTATTGAAAGGACCACTTAATGAAAAATTAATTTTGACGTCGAAATTAGAAAAAATATTTGAATCATTGCGAGGGGGGGTTTATTTGAAATGTGCAATTCAAATTCGTCTGACTAAGTCGCATTTTTTAGCATTGAAATACCGGCAAAAATTGCGACTTAGTCAGACGTATTTGAATTGCACGTTTCAAATAACCCCCCCCTGGTAAAACTCCTTCAATTTTGGATTTGCATTCTTTGCAGATTCCGAAAACTTTGCAATAGTTTTGACCAGTTGGATAAATCTTCACTCTTTTAAAAGAAAATGAGCATTGTATTTGTGGTACCGTTTCATTAATTCTCCTATAAAAAATATGAGACCAGTCGTACTTTTTAAAAGTGGAATATATTTTTGTATTACTTTTATGTTTTGATTTTAATTTTGAAATATATTTTCTTTTGTATTGTTTGATCATCTAAATTTTTGATTTCTACTGTGGTAAAATTGCAGGAAAACTGAAATACAGTTTTCTGGTCATCGGCATCGATTGAAATCGAGTTGCTGTTTGAACTGCAACTGCTAGGTGTTGATGAATAATTATTTTTATTTTTTGGAATACCAACCAAATTCCATAAATCATAATAATTTTTGAGAAGTGCAGTGTATATTTCTGAAGAGCTAATCATGCAACCACTTTCAACAATTTTTAAGGATAATTCATCCCAAACATTAGAGTTTTTAGGAGCAAATTTCTGCTTTTCTACAGAATAAAACAAATCACGGTCCAAACTTAATATTGTGTTCTTTATTATCGCAATTTCAGATTCTTGCCTTTTTCGCACCATTTCTGCAATCTAAAAAGATGTTTTCTATGTAACTACTGCATTGAAAAAATTGAATAAAATACAGGGTGGTCCAAAGAAAACCGGAATTTTGTTTTTGAGCTTAACTTTTTTTTTTAATGGTGCCTACCAATTTCCTTTTGTCTAGGCTTGTTCGAATGAGAAATGAACAGGCTACGAATCAAAGTGAATTTTTTGACAATACGGCAGAACTCATATTTTTCAGTTTTCAATATTTTTTTTCATTGATAACCTATTTTACTTATCCTCAGCGTGTTTAAATCCAACATTCAAAAACGCGCGTGTTTTAAAGTTATCATGACAACATCAACAACCCAAGAAAGGTAGGTAAAGTCTAAATGTCAACTTTTTGATTATTGATTTGTCAGGAGTAGGTACTTGTAGACAACGTCAAATAAAATATACCTAACAAGTGTCAACGAAGTTAGCATTCTACAATTATTAGTAATTTTTGATTTGAACGTATAGGTACCTACCAATAAAAAAAATAGTGTAAAGTATTCGTGGATAACTGGTCTTTAAAACACTTGCTCTATTTCGAGCACTCCGGCTGCGCCGTCGTGCTCGAAAAATCGCGCGTGTTTTAAAGACCTTAATATCCACTTATACTTTAATATACTATTTCATTACGCATGCATCATAATCAACGATTATTGCTGCAGCGTGCATAAAATGATGTTTAGGATGCACCTACCTTTTCAAAGGTTTGCTATAGAAACGTTTTATCTACCTTCATTAGTTCATTACCTAGATATTTACCTGCCCTTCAAATTACTATTTATCAAAATGAATGAACACAGTTGAAACATTTTTGACATTATGATGCATTTGTGATAAAAAATTGATATGCTTGTATAAGAGGGTCTTCAAAGTTCACAAAATCACTCGAGCTGCGCTCTCGTGATTTTCTCGGAACAGCTCTCGTTACATTTCCTGAAAGTAAGTACCTATGAAAGAGCAAGCGAAAAAATATCCTGCTCAAAATCTGAGTATTTAGTACGGCAATTCCCACGAAATCAAAATAAAATATTTATTAATCTCAGATAATAAAACACTTTTATGCACTTCAGGGATTAAAAGTACCCTTTTAATTCCTGTTTTAAGGGAGTAAAGTGGGTATTTTAATCCCCGGGATTAAATTTCACTTTATTTCCCGGGGATCAAATTTTTACTTTATTTCCCGGGGATTAAATTTTACTTTATTTCCCAGGGATTAAAAGTAGGTACCCTTTTATTCCCTGTTTTATTTAATCCCCGGGAAATAAGGTGAAATGCATAAAATAGTGAATACACCTCAGGACTAAAGTGTTTTTTAATCCCTTGTGTACAATTAATAAGCTAAAATGATCGAATTTGTGAATTTTTGTAACACAATTATTTGACAGATGATTCAAAAACCCAATTTAACATGTACTTGTTACTATGGTACAAACGATTAACGATTGCATCAACAGAAAATTTATCCGATTTTCTCTTCCTTGCTATTTATCCGCTAGCAAACTACGTTTTTTTGTTAGTTTTTGAACTCAGAATTAACATAAAAGTTGAAAATGTCAAATGATATCATAAAATATTGGAAACTGAAAAAGATTAGTGCTGCCGTTTAGCAGGGTTTTGACAGGTGTCTACGACGCATCGTTAGAAAACGGTTAGAATATCAACCCTACCAAAGTTTCATTGGTATTAATTAAAAAAATCAAATAATAGCAGCTCCAAAGTAATGTCGTGGGCACCTATTTATAAAACATACCTACCTTAATAAGTTTGAAAACACTAAAACTTTTCAACTGCACTATTGAATAATGATTGAACTGCACTAGATTTACAACCCGAATATCAAAATGTAACTGAAGTCAAAGTCTTCAGTTTTTGAGTCATGCATTTCATATTAAAGAAAATCGCCTAAAAAAATTTGAAAAAATATGAAACAAATTGACAGGTTTGCGGCATCTTTATACCAACTCATAAATCATACCTTTGATAATGCCGACAAAAGCACCGGTTCTTCCTATTTGTTTTGACTATTCCTTATCTACATGTTTTTTTAGCAAAGCGGGCCCCCCTTTTCCTAAAGGGTAGAGTATCCTAGGATTTTATAAATGGTTGTTTTTAATTTGGTAAGAATAAAGACATTTCAACCAAAGTTTATTTCAACTTCAGGGGCTGAAAAATGGTGGGTGGAATCGATTGTAATGTATGCCGTAATGCAATTAGTTGCTATTTAATTGCTAATTAAATGCACAAAAAAAAAAAAATATATTGCTCCCATATTTTTTGTTTTGCGCGACTTTCCGAGTTTCGTCCAATAGATTATAATTTTTTAGAACTTTTTATCGTCTGTTATATAATTTATAGTGTGTTTATTTGCATGCAAGGATTGCGGCTTGAAAGAACTAGGTATCCAACGTATTTGAAATAGTAGTATCGATGCAGTGCTAGTCTGTAAGGAGGAACTCTATTTCGAAATGATTTTTTTGATTTTTTTCTATATGGGGGTTGATACTCTACCCTCCTACAGCCGGTAACGGGTTGGGGTTGTGCTTGGGTAGGAACGTTCATTGGAAGCCAAATAACACGCACTGCAAGTTTGAAGGTGTTAGGTGTAACTACTGTAACTCTATATCGAATTGTTTTTTTTTTTTTTTCTTTTTTCTCCCATATGGGGGTTGATATAACTCGCTGGGGAATGTGGTGCTAGCCCTGTAAGTTGGGTGCTAGGTGTATAGTAGATAGTGCTAAATTTTGAACGAAATATACAAACGGGGGGTGGGGGCTCGCGTTATATTAACCCCCCTCCCACCCCGGTAAAAATATTCTATAACTCGCTGGGGGGTGTGGTGCTAACTCTGTAAGTTGGGTGCTAGGTGATGCTAGGTGGATGCAATAGGGTGCTAAAAAATTGAACCTGTTGGAAAACCGGGGGGGGGGGGGAGGGCTCGCGTTACATTAGCCCCTCCACCGGTGAAAATGTTCTATAACTCGCTAGGGGGTGTGGTGCTAGCTCTGTAAGTTGGGTGCTAGGTGGTGCTAGGTGGGTGCAATAGGCTGCTAAAAAATTGGACCTGTTGGAAAACCGGGGGGGGGGGGGGGGGGCTCGCGTTACATTAGCCCCCCCCGGTGAAAATGTTCTATAACTCGCTAGGGGGTGTGGTGCTAGCTCTGTAAGTTGGGTGCTAGGTGGTGCTAGGTGGGTGCAATAGGGTGCTAAAAAATTGGACCTGTTGGAAAACCGGGGGGGGGGGCTCGCGTTACATTAGCCCCCCCCGGTGAAAATGTTCTATAACTCGCTAGGGGGTGTGGTGCTAGCTCTGTAAGTTGGGTGCTAGGTGGTGCTAGGTGGGTGCTAAAATATTGAGCCATTTGGGAAACCGGGGGGGGGGGGGGGCAGTGTAACGGACCCCTAACAAATTATTGTTGAAAACATCAACTTTGATATTTATATCATTACTCTTGTATATATCATGCCAGTCAATCTGCGCCAGGCTAGCATTGAGTTCATCACTATCAACATTTCTAAAATCCCTATATTGTATAAAATGATTGATGGGTTCAATTTTATCACAGTTAATTCTACAGAAAATTGCTTCATGATCTGATTTGATAGGATCACTAGGCACTATACCTGATTCAAAAATTAGCTCCGGATAGTTTGTTAATATTAAATCAATTAATGACTCTGAGCTAGGTGTTAAACGTGTAGGATTAGTTATTATTTGGGTGAGATTGAACGATACTAAAATATCATGAAGATAATTGTATTCCTAGTATTCTTAGCCAGCCAATTAATATTGAAGTCTCCAGTACATATGAAAATATCACAACCCTGTATCAGATCAGGTAGCAATTCATATAATAGTAGAGTATGCCACGAGTCAATAATAATAGCTATTATTCCCGAGGATTATTACGAACTGAGCCGCGTTAGCGGCGAGGGAGTAACATGCCGAGGGAATAATAGCCATTATTGCGAGTAGTATACTCTACTTTATTAACGACAAATTAATTTATTTGAGATTTTCAATGAACAAATTTCATCCGTCTCATAATTTTCAATACAAATCCACAAGCACTACACGTTTGACACTGACACTTTTGTGGA